TTTTCTCTGCTTTCAGGAAGGCCCAGTTAGGATATCCACATTGCTCTAGAGCCTGTTTTGTATAGGATTTCTCCTTCTGCATGGCTCCTGAGCTAGTGGGGACGCTGTCTGCTCTGTGATACAGTCCTGATGACTCCTAACTTGTGCTCCAAAGGGTGATGGGAGTTGTTGTGGCTTTCTTCCACAATCGTGTTCAAAACAGCTGAGACGGTCACCTTAGTTCAAAAGATTTATTTGAAAAACAGGAGTTACAGGTATTCAGAGACAAACAATTACATTTGTAAAATATATGCATATATTTGGAGCATTAAAGAACGAACCGTCTCGGTCTGCGCTTCCCCGGAAATGCTCGCTGGGCGTGTGTTATTTTCGGATTTTATCAAAGTTTGAGAAGGCTAGCTTTCTGATTGGTTTAGACCTGATGTTACTATGGATACGGTGCTACTCTGCTCTGCCAAGGACATTAATGTCCACATTCCATAGATAAGGATTTTTATGGCTCACTGAAATCGTTTCTTTGTTTTAGCTCTGTTTCAGTTTAACTTGATTATACCTTATTGATACCAAATGATTTGAGTTAAAGTTGTTTCTTTCTATGAATAATTAATAACTATTAATTAACTAGGGTAGAGTTTTACTTATTTTAGGGTTTGGGGTATTTATAATTAATAACTATTAATTATTAACTAACTCATGTTTATGTGTTCTTAATTGATCCCTCTGGCTTATACTTGTGTTTCAGTTCAGTTGAAGTCACCCTGCCCCCACATCTAGTAAAACTCTCTTATAACTTACTGTGAAGATTAAACCTGTGTCCTATCATCTAAACTGAACCTGTATCAAACAATTGTTAAACGATTAAATGCTAATTGTTATTATCATACGGACCTGAGGGATTTTACTTAGTCGAACTATATTAAGTGTCATGAATCACGTCCCTGTGTTTAGATCTTTATCACTCTGTTCACTAGTTCTGGTTTCTCAGTCCTGTTCTAGTTTTTTCCTCTTCACTCCTTATCTACTTCTACCTGGTTCTCATGTGTGTGTATGTGGAGAACCAGTCTATCCACTCTGCATGTTGGTGAAGGCTGACTGCACTAATTGTCTGCACTGCAGTCAGCTGGCCTGATTATCTCAGACTGGCTGCACCTGTTTCTCTCCACCCTTTATAAGCAGCACCCTGTCAACTCTTCGGTGCCCGATAGTTGAACACTCTTTGTAGTTAGTAGGTATCTCGCGTTCATGCCTGTTGTCCTTGTTCCCCTCTCTTGTCCCTGTTCAAGTCCTCGCTCCTTGTCTTGCCCACCACGCTACCTGTCCCTCTTTCTGGTTGTCCTCCCCTTCTTGTTTGGCCTGATCTCTTGGTTCCTGGACCCTCCGCCTGCCTCGACCACGTCTCTTTGGATTTCCCTTTTGGATTTGATTCTGCCTCTGCTCTTGGTACCGACCCACGCCTGCACGACCACCGATCTGCCTGTCTCTCTGGTACTGCCTGACATCTGCCTCACGTTACTGGACCTAGGAAAGCCTGTCCTCCCCTCTTGGATTACGGACTCTGGCCACGCAGACAGCTGCGGCCGACTGGCGTCCTTCACCGGACTCAGCTCCTCCAGCAGCTGCAGACCCGACCACCTCAACCCTTCAGGACCCCTAAGATCATCTGAGACGGTTAGTGGCTTTTTCTGGTTGACTGTTTTCCTCGTTCTGATTACCCGCACGACCACTAACCGTTCTCTGCTTCTTAGAACTGTTCCTGCCATTAACCGACACCAGAACCAGAACCCAGACCAGCACCAAGACCAGCTGTCACTTCCTCCCTAGAAACAATAAACACTTATTATTTATCGTCATTCTGTTGTGTTGTGATCTTGGTCCAAACCCTCACGAGAGTTCCTTACAATTTTTGATAGTGACCTTTCTTACGCCTAGATGAGGCCAACCAAAATGGAAGTCAGTAACTCGCTTATTTTTACATTTGTCGTGCTCACAACGGACAGAAGGACGGAGGATATTTCCAATTCTCCACCTTCTCTCTGCAACCAGAAACAAAACCTCCACCCTGCTCGGATCTGCAACTCATTAGACATCAGAACCATCAGTCGGAGTTTAAACATCTCACTGACGGACGAATGAACTGCACTTTTTACTTCCTTAATGGTTTTTACACAATCACAGGTTGAGTTTGATGATTTTTAAAAAGTATTTTATCAAAATCTTCATCTTAAAACTTTACATTTCCAAAACAAGTTGCACATGAAAAAGTCGAACTTTGATGAGAAGAATCTTCAGAATTGTCACATTTCCTACATAAAACGCCGTGACTAGATAAACATTTATTAGGTTGTATCAAAAAGATTCTTAAAGTGTAAGTGTTAGAAACATTTG